GACATTGAGAGTAGGACACACCTCTTGATTCGACATTGGTTTCCCTACAAGCTAACCCTCCCCACCATAGGACTGCCACGATATCACCATGCACCCAACCAACCCCTTACTGCTCACCTGCCCAAGAGAGTAGCATCCATCCCACATCAACTTTCCCGCAGGAAAGGCACACGTCCCCACCCGAAACCATGTAGAGGATCATCCCTTAGCTGATATGATGAATGAGCATAGTCGGAGTCAAACTCAGGACCTCCAAGTTAGTATATCAGAGCTCTACCCACTGAGCTATTGAGGTCGTTGGTCTGTAAGGGCGCTATGCCAGGCTCGGGACAAGTACGTGGGGCGCAACCTACACCAACCAATTGTGCTCAGGGGAAGTTGTGGGCCGACAAAGTCAAACCCACAACCTCCCCGTTGCAACACCGGAGCTCTGCCCACTGAGCTACCACGTGCTTTCTTACCAACTGACCGTCTTGAAGGTAAGACGCCAAGCATGCCACAGGCACTATCGTGGGGGCAATGGGAGTTGAACCCACGACCTCCTGAGTGCCGCTTGAACGCCTTACCAACTGAGCTACACCTAGTTGGAGGAGCTATATTCTTCTCTTAATTTCATCTTTCACTACCCACTTACCACTACTCCTAAGCCTGTACAGGAGACCCTTGCACCCCGGTGGGGGGGGCCCACTAACACAAAGACCGAACATTTGCCACGAGCTGCGCCTCCCTCCTAATTCCCCCACCCACCATCGAGTAGCAGCAGTGGCTATGGCCAACACTCTCCCACACACCACACACAATGCACTCATGCGCACACTCACACCCGTGTTGGTCATTGACCCGACTACCGGTCAGGGGTTTCAAGTGGGCCACAGAGTGCATCACAGGCGGTCATGGGGTTAGAACCCACCACCTCATGAATGCCACTTGCGTGCCTAACCAACTGGATAGTCGTTTGTCCCCTTTGAGCCAAGCGGGAGACAGTACTTTCGTTTCTCCTATGGAAGAAGTTTCTGGCCCTCGCCGCACCACTCACGAAAAGTATGCTGCTCCATGTTCTTGGGGAAGATCCATTCTCATTTCGGACATCCGGTGAGTGGTGCGGCGGCGTCCTCTTTCACGCTCGGTAATTTTTTTATTTTTATTTTTTTTCTCGGTAAAACCTACTCACGCAGTCGACGCTCTGTAGAGGTCACGTCACTGATGTTACTTGACTTCTCTTTTTTTTTTTTCTTTTTTTCTTTTTTTAAAGCCCAGGTTGTTGTAGAGCCGGGATACTAGACGGACGTAGGGGTGGGAGGGGGATGCTTCACTCTCGGGACAGCAGGAGGGGACGGGATCTGTGAAAGGGGTGGGAAGGAAGCGTGTTAGGCAGTGTTGTTTGAGAAAGCTACCCGTAGGCGAAGCTGGACTATGGCCAACAACAGAAAAAAATGGGCATCGCTACGCCACTCCCGAGATGTGCAAAATGAGAATGAACTTCCTCCTAGAACATGGCCAGATGCCTCCGCTACATTTTTTGTCTTTTTCACGTTTGGAGAGTGGTGTGGCGGGACATCCGTTAAAATTCGAACGATACAGAGAAGATTAGGGCCAGATCCCACTAGCCCCTATTGTTCATTTCTGACCGTTGATCTTCGTAATCGAGGGTGAAAAATGAATAATCCAGGGTAGTGAGATCTGACCATAGGCATGGATGACACGCATAAAAAATCGAGAAATGGTCCCAAAAAAAAAAAAAAAAAAAGAGTGGTGTGGCGAGGCGCAAAAGCGCGTGTTCGCATAATGTTCCTCTCTCCACCACTCTACACATGCCCCAAAGGCAAAAAAATGGGCCTCGCTGCACTACTCTCGAAATGTGTAAAACGAGAGTGAATCGTCCCCTTAAACATGGAAAGATGCACGGCCATAATTTTTTTTTTTTTTTTTTTTTTGCATGTCGAGAGCAGTGCAGCGAGCCCCAATATGCCGGTGTTTGTTGGCGGTGTATCTTTCCACGGTGTACAGGACGATGCATTCTGATTTCGCATATATGGTGAGTAGTGCAGCGGGGCCCAATAACGGGAAAGAAGTAACAGAACCGCGCTAAAGGAGACTGCTTGCTTTATGGTGAAAGTTCGAATCCAGATAGGGCCTCGCGAACCTGGAGATGAGAATAGGTGCGGACTATTGAGTAGAGCTCAGCTACTCCAGCATAGAATACAACCACTGATTGCAACTAGTAAGTAGGACGAGGAACTTTTGACACAAGTGAACTATGGGTACAATTCGGGTCCCTAACGGGTCTCATCGAAAGCGAAGCTGGCTAATGTTGCCAGAAGGTTATCTCCGGGTTGAATTGTGGGTCCCCGACCCTCTTCATTTACATTTCGTAGTAAATCACCCTTTTTTTGGAAAAAAAAAAGAAAAGATAGGGCCTCGCCGCACTACTCACCCAACGGAAAAAGAGACAAAAATGATGGAGGTGCATCTTTCCGTGTTCTAGGGGAAGATTCATTCTCATTTTGTACAATTTGGTGAGTAGTGCCCCCAAGCCCATACTCTAATGCACAGGAGAGGGGACGGATGCGCATGGAAGACAGAGTAAAAGAGACCCCATGCACATGAGAGAGAACCCATGTGGTATAGAAACTCGAGGTGCTTACATACTCACACTGGCAGTTTCAAAAATGCATCTGGCTTCAATTCCGGCCACAACGGGAAGAATATGACATCACGTTCAAGAGCTTCTTTGGAAAGGTCCTAGTGTGAGTATGCCCTTGTTCGTTGTCTGGCATATGAAAGAGAAAAGAACCATAGAGAACAGAAAAGGGGACACAGGAAAGGAAATCAGATAAACTACTGGATCTCAAGCCAAGGGACAACCCCAATCTTTCTTAGGACTTTCGACGCAGACCCGACTTGCGGGAGTGATTGAAGAGCTAGCCATTGGCCTTGGTCAAGTACTTGACAATTCAAAAAGTATCTGAATGTATCGACTGTACACCAGATACATTGCGACTGATCGAACATTTTGAATGTATTGACCCCCGTCCACATACATTTGGGCGGCTGGGTAGGTGTAGGGAGCTACCTTCTTCACCTGAACGCAATGCACCCTGATTTTGGCTGCTGTATGACACCGCAAAGCTCGCTTGTACATTCATAATCAGGGTGCATTGTGTCCGGGGAAGGCCCAACTGGTGCTATATGGTCACATCGTATGGAGGCACAACCCTGGGCATTTCCGCAAGTAGTTTCATGTTTTCCCACCAAGTGTAAACGTTGCATACGTTGGGCATGCCCCTGGGTTCATATACTCATTTTTGTGACTCCCGTGTAGTTTCCCCTATCATCATATACTTACTCAGCATGGGCATAGCGCCACTGGGGATGACCCTCATGCTATGCTAACTTAGCAAGGAATATGCCAACTTTGCAATGATGTAGCACGAGTGGGGATGGGCCTAATGGAGAGGGTGAGGCAGTCAACGAAGGGCAGAGGACTTTGTGGCCTCTATGGCAAATGCAGCATGGAACACCTCCTCGGTTGAATCAAAGAGCAGGTATATGTATTCGATGTCGAAGTCCTCTTTTAGGCCCTATTCGAGGCCTTATTTTGGGGAGAGAGGAGCCAAGGGAGGGAAGTTTGGGGCAGAAAGTGTGAGGGCACACTCACACTAGCACCCTCACACCAGGACTTCGCTAGATTTAATTAAGTGACTGCATATAGACCACATCTTGACTGACTGCAGTGACGTCCAGTGCTTTGTAGAAATAAAATGTAGAATAGAATATACCCTAATACCCTAGTGTGAGCATTGTAGAAATAGAATATACCCTAATACCCTAGTGTGAGCATGCCCTGAGCAGGGGCGATTATCGTCTCCTCATAGTTTCGGAGCCTTGCGCTTCTGGAGATCTAGGGGGTGGACCAGTAGCGGGAGGGGTCTGGTAAATTTTAATTTAATTTAATTATAATTTATAAATATAATTTTAAATTAAAAATTATAAAGGGGTTGTGGTATGGTAGTGGTAGTGTGTGAGTGTGAGTGTGAGCGTGAGCGTGGGTTGGCAGGCGTCGTCGCTGTTGATTGATTGATTGAAGGAGG